ACATTGAAATACAATAGTACATAATAAATTACCATTAAATATAAAAATACAAAAAAAAATATATTGATTTACAAATACAAAATTAAAATTATCAGTATAAAATAAAAATATAGGAAGAGAAAGAGAAGGAAGAAGAAGTTGCCCAGGCCAGATCATATGTTTTAACAATTGATATGATGTTTAAATAAAAAGGTCTTTACCTGGCGCCGAAAAACCAGTAACGACGGTGCCAGGCGGACCTCTTTGGGGAGTGAATTCCATAGGTTGGGCGCCACCGCAGAGAAAGCCCTCCTCCGGGTACTTACTCTCCTAATTTCTTTCATGGAGGGATCCCGGAGAAGGGACTGGCAGGAAGCCATCTCTCCTGCCCCCAATCCCTGCAAAACTTTTCTGGGAGCTTTATATACTTACATTGCACAGTGACTTCTACAACACAACTCTCCTGCCCTGCTTCATTGGAGGCAGTGCACTGGTATAATCCTGTGGCCATCCGTGTGAGATTCTTTATGAAAATTTGTGCAGGATTGGAAAAGTCTGGAAGATCAAACAGCAACATTTAATGAATTACTCAGCACAAGGGAGTAACAACACTGCTTCCGTGGCGACTCTCTGATAACCTCTAGGATAGGAGGCAGCATGTGGAACTCCAGAAGCCAGGTGCTGGGGAACAGGGCCCTCCAGTCCACCTGTGGGTTGCCCATCATTATCTGGTTGGCCACTGGATGCTGAACTTTTAATCCCGCTGATGATGTAGTCAAACTAGGTCAGTGAGGAATATTTCCCATGCACATATCATTCACTGTGCTAATAACTTGCATTATGAGTTTCTGAATGCTCTTCTCCTTTGATCTGATTTGTACAACCAGATGTCTGTGCCAGGATGCCCAGAGAATGAATCCATAGTGCGCCTAAGTGGTGGGAGGTATCCTTATCGTACCACACCATCAGATGGGCTGACTGCCTGGTGAATTAAATCAGGCATCTGCTGAGCTATAATGAAATTTCATCACCTTAGTTGTGGGAATAGATTCTAACCCTGAGAAAAGTAGGAGAGGGGAGGGTGTCACTCCATATTGGGCATTGTGCATGTGCAAGCCACAGAGGGAACCTTCTGAACTATGGGATAAGCCACTCTGTGCGTCAAGTTTTCAGCCCAACCTCACTGAGGAGAAGAACCAGCAACTTTCTCTGCTTGGTTTGCTTCTGGCAACCAGCAGAAGGAATCACCATGGAGTTGCCTTCGTTCGGGGTGGCTCTTTAGTTGGTGGGATGGATTGGAAGTGGTGATGACTTACTAATGTGTGTCGTGGGCGGGAGAGACCCGGTTTTCCCCTTCTCGTCTATCCGCTGCCACAGGTACATTATGGGCGTGGTGCCAGAGATGGAATTGCACTGCAAGGTGAGTTCTCTTCCCTCGGACATCTCTCCTTCTTTCCAGCACTTGGGTTTGGAAGGTTTCTCTGGGGAAAGGGGAAAGTCAGAACACCTTAGTGATCAACAGGTGAGCTACCTGTTTGTTTTGAACCACATCATGGCTGCCTTACCCAGAACTATTAGTGTGATGTGACGCCATTCGTACTGCCCGGCATTCTTAACTTTGCACGTGTACTGCCCCGCATCGCTCGGCTGCAGAAGAGAGATCTCCAAAGAGGCATCTCCGGTCTGGTAAGTGGAAGCAAAGGAAACGCGGCCCTTTTGTTCTTCGATCATGTTATCGTAGATGATGCCTCCCGCGTATGTGATCACCTGGGAGGCAAAAGGTGTCATTCACTGGTTAGCCCACGCTTCATTTTCGCATTGCTAGTTTCGCTTTAAAAGAACCTGTCAAAATAATAAGCTTGCTTGAGCTTTTATCATTAAGAAGATTGCAGTCCTATTGATTATTCTTGCACACTTCACCCAAAATATAGTGAAGCATTGCAGCTCTGCTGTCACATGTTTAGCAGAATTATTCCAGCAGAACATATGTTTACCTAAATGTTAGCCCGATCCCAAATAGGCTTGATCCTTAAATCAGATTTTTTTAAAAAATAGTATTTCCAGGTTCTGGTTACCTCAGTAAAAGTTAATGTCTTTGTGCTTAATTTTTAAAAGGTGGAATGTTGGGATCTTGCAGTCACTAGAAATTAGGCTCTGTCTGTTTCTGAAGTGATAGCAAACACCTGCAGTTTCAATGTGCTTGGAGGATATACTGTTGTGAATGCTATTGGGGAGTTTAGGAAACTAAATAAATATTAATGATAATATACTAGATGCTACTGTATTTTATTAAAGCAGGTGGTCAGGAGCTATGTAGGTGTGTCTCTGTACTTATCCCAGTGCAATGGAGCTTTCTTTGGGCTCCACTTTGTACTGTGCAATCGCTTAGATAATATGGCTTATGAGAAGAAAGGTATTGGACTTTTCAGAGTGGATAGTACTGGACTTAAAAAACCAGTTTCAAAATTTCACTCAGTTGCCAAACTAATCATTATCTCTCGGCCTAACATGACCTTAGAGTGTTGTCATGAGGATAAAGCAAATGATGAGCAGGTTGTTTATGCTGTTCGGAACTCCCCTGGAGAAAAGAGGGTTAAAAATAGATGAATTCTGTTGGGGAATGCAGTTTACTTTGGGAATTTTGCTATTGCTGCTGCTGGGAGAGCTTTTTCAAAAGTTTAGCCAGATAGAAGAGCAATTAGGTAGATGGTGCCTAAGGTACCACCTTTGTTTGAGGACCACCTTCCTCCAGGAATGGTGTTTGGGGTCATGCTGGTGGTAGCAGAGGTCAGAACCACTTCCAATGATGGTTTCTCTCTAACGATAATCACAACCCCACATTGTTCAGCTCTCATCCTTTTTCTCAGGAACCTTGAGAGAGAACCAGTGTGCAGTCAGCTTTACATTTCCACTCCCCACTCTCGTTCACACACATCCGTGGCCAAGTCATACACACCCACATTACATCCCCCAAAAGGAGAGCCCTTCTGGCAAGAAGGCATATTTGAAATGTGATACCTTCCCTGCAGTTTAGGGCAGATTAGCAAAACTCTTCAATTTAGGAACCAGAAGAAACATTTCAAACTTCCCTCTAGAGGGAAAATTGTAGCCCATACCAATAGACAATGATTGCAAGTCAGTCTATAGATGGGACATGGCTGCAGTCTGGAAAGTTGGTAGCAAATGTTCTGGAAAAATAGAACTGTTAGGTGGGATACTTCTGCTGTTAGACATTTCCAGCTAAAAGATGGAAGATGTTAGGAAGTGTTCCTTTTCTGGCGCTTTCCACAGCCAATGCTTCTGTTTAGTGTTTGGGAATGATTTGTTGTTATGGTTACACAGATAGGCACTGTGTGAGTCATGTTAGAATAATAAAAGTAAGATTTTGTTGCTCATATATTCTTGTGAATCACTAAGGTTGCAGCTCTGGAAATACTAGTGTGTGGTTCACATCTTTATAGACTAGAGTCCAAAGGTCTACCATAAGCGTCGGTTTAGTGCCATCATTTTCAGAAGGGCTCTGCTTAGAACTGGACTGGTACTAAATTGCATCCTCACTAACATGTTTTTCTCTTGCTGTGTGGCTGTAATTTGTCCATTTGCGTTTGACAAGAACCCTAGTTGCTAGTGCTGTGTGTATTTTCCCACCCCTGCTTCACATGGTGGCAAAGATGAAGATGTCTTGCTTTGACCCTGGACCTGATCTGGTGGAGAGAAGCAAATTCGGGAATGGCTCATTTCAGGGTTTGACATACCACTTTTGGTTCGGCTTCAGAATTCTTTAGCAGCCATTCTATGTCCAGGCTTGCTGGCTCCAGGAGGTACAGTCGGTGGTGACAGGGCAAAGTCACATTTGCTTCAGCCACCCTCTTAAATTCGGTTTGCGCTTGGGACATCCATGTCGAACAGGATGCTGGAAAGAAAGATCAAGCCAGAAGTTGGCAGGGAGCCTAAGCCAATATGTATTTATTTATTTATTTATTTAAAACATTTCTATGCTGCCCCCATCGCAACAAAGCCTCGGGGCGGCTCACAACAAAAACAAACAAAAGCATATAAAAATTATACAATAAAAATATTAAAACCTGGTGCATCTCGGCTTAAAAATTTTTATTTGTTAAAAAACCTACATAATAAATTAACAATTAAAATAAGTTTTAAATAAAAAGGTCTTAGCCTGGTGCCGAAAAACAAATAACAAAAAACAAAGTCACAAATAGGTGACTTTTGCTATAGTTTTGCTGTGTGAGTCAAACTCTTACTTTTCATATTTGCAATATCACAGATTTCTTTGCTCCCTCTTGGAATCTTGCCATGTTATTATATCTTTACTTTCTGTGAACATCTTGTTTACAAAAATATTTCTGTATGTTTGAATTATGTAATATGATGTGTGTATTATTTATTTACAATCTATAAACATAAATTTGTTATATCTTTACATTTACATTCTGTAGATATGTCAACATTTTGCCTCCATCTTTCCAGATTTGAATGGTTTTGAAACCTGGCAAAATCCCATGACCCTCTCAACCAGACATGCATTTGGGGTCTGATGGAAGGCTCTTCCCAACCCCTGCATTGACATTCCAGTGCTGGGTTTGCATACTTTTGAACAGTGGTGGGAAACACCAGATTGGAGGGGTCAACTTAGTTGCCGAGACTTCAAGTTCTGCCAACCAGAGCCAAGTGCAAGACAGAGCTTCTGAGCCCATGCTCTGTCCAGGAAATTTGTTTCAGTGCCAGAATTTAGTACACATTTCCTTCAAACAAAAATCTCCTCTTAATTTTCCCTCTAGTTTCGCTAGCCTGATAACACTTTAATTTGTCCTTTAGATTTTCCCCCCCTGGTAATCAGCAGTGAGTTGCAATCAACCGAAGATGGGTCAGGAGATCCCAAACTATCTTCTGCCTTAGATAATGCTCTCCTACCACCATCCTTTGTGCTGCACAGGGAAAGTTTTGTTGGAAATAAATTAAAACTGTGAACTATTTTGGTAAGGATGAAAAAGTCTCAGTAGCATTGGTCAGGGCTGGTCCACCCAGGTCTCTCTACAAAAAACCTGCTGGCATTGTTTGTTTCCACAGGCTTGTATGCTGAGATTCTAATTTATATCCCATTTTTGCTTTATAATTGGGTAATCTGGTAATGCGGGGTTGGCATGTCACAACCTCAGCCTCACCTGAGCAGGGGAAGAGCGAGCTCCGTCTCCTGAACCTGGTGCCCTGCAAGTACATTTCCAGCCACATCTGCAGGGAACAAGGTGGAGGACAGCGGAGCTAGGAGATCAGTTGTTTTTTCTAAGACAGTTTAGAAATTAATGTGTAATTGCAGCAGCTGAGTTAGCTAGCAGCCCTTTGCCTCTGATTTCTGCTCACCCACAGATTTCTTAAATTGCTTTAGAAAAAAAATGTACCGATGCTAGTAAATGTCAGTACTGCCATATACTTAAAGCAAATGTTGAACATAACATTCTGGAATTGCTGAATTTTATAAGAGGGCAAATGGGACCGTATCACATACTGCTAAAGGAGTAATGAGGTGGTTGACCCCAGAAGTATTTTTACGGAGAGTGTTTATAGATGATTCAATGCAACAGGACAAAAAGACCAGCCTTGCTTTTCTCAGCTAGAGGGTTGCTTTTGAATGAACTGGGTATTTCTGAGCACGCAGCACCAGAGACTGTGTTGTACCATCCCGAAAAGCGCAGAGGCAGATTTGCTAGCTTTAGCTTCACACCTGCTGGATGGATGCCCTGCTTGGGACAAGGGATTCCACTATGGTGGAAGAATCACAGTGGAAGAGCAGCAGGGTTGGGTTGGATTGGGTTGGCTGTGGTTTCCCTGACCTCACCGGCAGCAATTCCATCCATAAAGTGTGGGGCCGTGAGAGTCATTTTGATGCCCCAAACAGCAGCTCAGCTTGCTGCCTCAAGCTCCCCTTAGTGTCCTTTGCCCAAGGTGGAGCTAAGTCTGGGCTTAAAATGGCATATTCTAATTTTTGCACACATTCCAACGTCCGTGTGTCCCTGAGAAGGACACTCAAGGCACTGCATTTGTGAATAGGGATGCAGAGACAAGGGAGAAGGTGGGGAGAATTATTCACGTGGGGCAGCAGGAGGTGACCCACGTGTGAACCAAAAGCTAGCCTATCCAAGGGAATCGGAAGCAACACAGAGCATCCGAACTCGGTACCGTTATTTCAGCAAGAGCCCATGGGTGGCAGGGAGATGGGGCAGATAGCATCCCAGAAACCCAGGGCTATAACCCATCTCGAGTGGGTTCCCATCTCCCAGTCTCTGCTTATGCCATTCCATAAGTAACAGCATTAGAAGTAACTTCTAATCAACAGGATTGTTGTTGTAAAAAGGGGGTTGGGATTAGGGTTTGGAACTTCTGGAATGAGCCAATAAAATGGCAGAATATTCAACTAATAAAGCTGGAGCGTCAATTAAAAACCACACTTCTGTTGAAATAGAAATGTAAATGTTAAAATTGCTGGGTTCAGAGGCATACACAACTATATTGATTTATTTTAAATTCCGTATATACAGAAATTATATTCTGTATATAATTGATATGATTATTATAGACTCCCAAGATGGTTTACATAAAAAGCCAAAAATACAAATATATATTGAAACCGTATAATAGCCATTAAGATAGTTAAACATGGTCAGGGTTTTACCGGAGCAAGCCACTAGAGGGCCTCGCATTTAAGGGAAATGGGTGTAGGTGCAGGTAAATTTTTTACGCTCTGCTTCTTAAAAGGTCCCTCTATATGTATGTATGTATGTATGTATGTATCTCTCTCTCTCTCTCTCTCTCTCTCTCTCTCTCTCTCTCTCTCTCTCTCTCTCTCTCTCTCTCTCTCTCTCTCTCTCTCGCCTCTCTGCTTTTCTTGTTGCTCTAAAAATGGACTGTTAAAAACAGTCTCCAGATTGGAACATCTTTTCTCTTAGACAGACAGAGCCCACTCTGGTAACGATTTAGTTTAATTGGTTTTTAATTGAGCTAAACTGAAAGCATCCAGGAAAAGGAAGAAGCAACAGAATGGGGATGGTGGGACATCAGTCAGATTTCATTAAAATGTCTTTGATAATTCATTTAAATTAAAAAAAGAAAAGGTCCTTGTCCTAGATTGGTTCTCCTTTCCTCTGTTTGGGGAAGATGGAATCAGGAATGGCAAGCACGCCCTCTTTTCTTGGAGACAATTCTAACCTCAGCGGGCCTTCACGGATTTGGAGGGGTGACTGCTGACAAAGTAGCCCGGAGACTGTGCAGTCCTGTAATCTGCTGGAAAAGTTGTGTTTTCTTCACAAAACAAAAGAGGATCAGTGGGTAATGAAAGCTGATGAAAGGCTGTCAAGTTACCATTCAAGACTGAATTACCTTCCAAACACGAGGACTGCTGGTTTGGGAAGGAAAGCACAGGACTTCCCATCGATGCTTTTCGTGCTGGAATCAGTCCTTAAGGGTCTGAGATCCCGGCAGAATGGGAAACAGGACTGTTGCTCTGAATAACTTGTTTCTATTTTTATTCCCCTCTAAGCAGCTTTACCTTTTCCCCTTTCATAAATGCATGTGTGCATTGTATCGTATGATGAGCATATCTTAAGGTGAAGTTCCTCGAGCTAGCGCAGTTGCTCTGCATTGCACTCCCACAGCCGTCCCTTTGTTTCCTTCTCTAAAACTCCCCAAATCAGCACTTTCCCGAATATGAAAACGCATCAAAGCAGTGCAAAGAGATGTGTGCATTTTTATCCCAACATTTGGGATTCCAATTACGTATGAGGCAGAACTTACATTGGGGTTGCATTAATCTATTGCATTTCTGGTAGCTAAGTAACTCACTTGCCAAGACTTAGTTCCTCACTGATTTGGGCCCTGACTCACCATTTGGGATTTACTGACTTTAAAATCAAAGGCTTGCTTGCATAATTAACTTTTTAGATGCCGTTGAAATAGGGAAAACGGAAGTCAGTGTTCTAGACTATGGATCTTTTAAAACTGCTTTGTGTTACCAAGAGTTACACCACTAGAGGGCAGAGTTTGCCCAAAGGACAAATGTGCCTTTATCACAATATACAGAGCACTCAAAAATTCCTGTTCATAAATTGAATATGAAGCAGGACAAATTCCCTGAAAATGATTTCAGTATATTGAACCTAAAAGTGCATTTTTAAATGAACTTTCTAGAATGCACACTTGCAAAAAACTGACACATTTGTGTTTTAATGGGGGAAGTGCAGACTTTCAAAAAGGCACTCCTTCAAAAATCCACAACTTCTAAAATGCACGCTTAAAACACAAATTAAAGTGTACATTTTAAAAAGTGTGCATTTTTTTAAAAAAGCGTTTTCAGATTTTAGTCAATGGAGGAAGTACTCATTGAAAAATGCTCGGGTCTCCCATTGAAATGAACCAAACAAATAAGTTGCGCATGAGAACAGGAAAGAGGAGGGGAAGGTCTAGAATGGAAGTGTGCCAGAGCATTCTGTAGCTCCTCAGCCCGTCATGCACACAGCGAGGCATCTGTGGCTTGTGTACTTTGGCTAGCCATGGGACGGAGGCTATAGGTCACCTTCTCCCGAGAGTGTGAATGCTCAGAGCGAGCGAGACCTGGTCCCATGTGCATGATGCCTGCAGCCTTCCCTCCGCGGCTGCTCTGTGATTTCAGGAATTTGGTTGAGAGGCAGAAGTGTCTGGACTTAAAGACATTTTATTGCTGTTAGCTCCCATGGGGAGCTCAGAGCAAGGAGGTCAGCAAAGCCGATCAGCAGGACTGTGGTGCCTCGCCTAATTTGAACCACATGTGCCTGAGCTGGGGGTTCTGAAAGAGAAAATGGATGTATGTTTTTCTAACTCATCCAAACAATGATGCAAGGCATCTGGAATCAAAATTGCAAAGGA